CCTTCGCGTGTGTGCCCAGCACATGTTGCAGCTGCATCCCGCCACCCAGCCTATTTTGGCGGGTGATGCCAATGTTTACTTCTCTGAGGTTAAGGAATCCCGCAGGGAGCGGAGTTGTGAATCCCAGCTGCACGACGTAATCCGGACTTCTTTGCGGGGCTTTGGGTTAGCCATCCTGAATCCTGTGCGTGTGCCCACGCATAGGTCCGGTTCCTCCATTGACTTGGTGCTTGTGCTTGTGTCTAGGTCTCTGCCTGTGAGCAAGTAGTTGTCCACGATGGTGTGTCATGGGGTTGCATCTCTTCATGTTGCCATCCAGCCCTTGGCAGCGACCACCGGCTCAAAATTTTTGATGTTATGATCCAAAAAGCAGCTGTTTCCAAGGTGCCCAGGTTGGCCCAAAGTCCGTGACTGGTCTGCTGTTGTCCGTGCCGTACGTCCTGACCTGCACAGTTGGGTTTTGCGGGTTTTGCATTGCCGAAATAACTCCCAACTCAGCCGGGCTGTTATTAATGATCTTAACGCGGAGTTGGTGTCTCTCATGTGGAGCTTGCCCCAGCAGACGGCGCATGATGCCCAGACGTCTCGGCGTCGGCCCCAGCCAGACTAGTGGGATAATGAGTGTTACAATCTTATGGTTGGCAAAAACGCAGCCTGTCGGCGGTGGCAGCGTGAGCGAACGCCTGCTACTCGTACTGAGTTTCGTTCCTAGAGGTTTCGGTTTCATCATCTTGTGCGTCGCAACCCACTTTTGAAGTACCTGGCTTCATGCGCAAGCTGTGGCAGGACACGCTGCTTGTCATCCGGGCGCGAGCACCCGCAGCTGTGGCGCGCATGTTTGACGCCTTGCGAGGTGAAGCTGCCCTCCGCTCCACCGCAGCCGCAGTCGAAGCGCAAACGCTCTTGCACCGGACCGGCTTCGAGGCCCCCGACCTCAAAGCGCTAACCCACCCCCGCCTGAACCGCGACATGCTGGCGAAGACTTTGGCCCGTGGCCGTTCAAAGGCTGGCAGCGACTACCCACGATCGTGTCTCCCCTGACGCGGCGAGGCGAGGCCCACCCCCACGCTGACACTGAACCTGGCAACGCCGTCAGTGCCGCCGCTAGACGCAAGCGCCACGGCACCTACCGAGAGCTCGGCCGTGCCCGGAGGTGCCGTCGTCTTCGGCACGGAAGTGGGCGGCAGGTTCGACACCGAAGCGGTGCAGTTCCTGCGCTTCCTGGCGCAGCATCCAACCACTGCCGTACCGAGACCGCTATCACGGCCTGGGTCGCGCGATGGTCCGGCCTCCCAGTTGTCGCCGCGCAACGCGCTTTCGCAGCCTCCCTGCTTAAGCTGCCCCCCACCGCCGACCTCGGGGACGGACCGGGGCCGGAGCTGCATGACATCCTCTCGGAGGCGCCGCCCGCGGCCTGACCAGCCACACTGCACGTAGCATCACGTAGCTTGCAAGTTGCACTGGGACCCGTCGTACCCCGCTGTCGCAAAAAGGTGCGGAAAAGAAAAAAAAAAAACAGCTTGCCTGTGACCCCCCGCGCTTGGCCGCACAACATACGACAGCAGATGCAGACGCGATGCCGTGGGTTGTTCCATTGAAACCCCTGCTTGTGTAGATGCTTGGCGTGCGAACTTCCGTGATGTGCCCTGAATGCTCGGCCTCTTGCCCCTGCTTGCCTTGACTCCCAGGCTTTTGATATCTTTACATATTGAAGGTGCGGAGCAATTGCGGGCCTCCATCCCTATTACTGTTGGCAACTTAGATTTCCCGTTGTTTGAAGCTGAATTAACTCAAGTGCTGCAGAGCCTTCCCAGCGATCGTTCCCCAGGTCCGGATGGCCTGCTTTATGAAGCACCTCGTGTTGAGGATGCATGCTTGCGCTCCTCGTTGTTGGTAAAAAAGTTTTGGAGCTTATCCGGTCTTGGTCGGTTGTCCCAGCTGTATGGCACTCTGCCATGGTTGCACCTGTTCACAAAGGTGGCTCTGCCGATCAGTTCACGAACTGAATCTTGCGTCCATATCGTCCATAATATGAGATGGTTGGAAGGGTTGTTAGGCCTGAAGTTGGGGAGAGGCCTTGTGTACAATGTCCGAAACCTGTGGATTCCTGCTGTTGGAAACCACAAAAAAACAAACATCTTGTAGGCGACACGTCTTACAGCTTTCCGGCTGAAAGCACATTGGCTTCGGCCGTGCTACTGTCGTGCTAGTCGAACACCTAGCCTCAGGTAAGCATGCAGTCTCCCAAACCGCTGTCGCCGTTACTGCCTTCTGACTTTCCGACACTGCAGAGACCGCTCCGCCTTAAGAATGAGGGGGTGTTAACCCAGCAGTTATAGCACGAACTATCGACCTATCAGCTTGCTGTGCAGTTGTGAAAAAGTGTTTGAGCTACTTTTTTTTCTTGAAACGCTTGTTGCCGCATGTTGACCCGCTGTTCGATGAGAGCCAAGCCGGGTTCCGACGTGGGGCTGAGGAGCAGGTCTACACCTTGCCACAAACTCTGCGCTTAGGCGACCGTCGCTGTACATTCTGCGCTTCTTTTTTGTAAATGTGCGTAAAGCTTTCGACGTGGCTTGGCGGGATGCCGTTCTTTTGAAATTGGCTTCTGCTGGAGTCCGTGGATAGCTTTTGGTCGGTCATTGCAGACTTGATCACCGATACCACTGCGCGAGTTTCTGTGAACGGCTCTTTTTCGCTTTCTCGGAGCAGGCTGAGGTTCGGCAAGGAAGTGTTCTGGGCCCACAGTTGTTCAACCTGTTGTTTGGTAGTGTCGCTGCAGCTGTCCGTGCTGCTTGCCCTTGGTGATGGGCCAAATGCGCCACGCGTTACCTTGCTGCTGTATGCTGATGACCCAGTCATCCTTGCGGACAGCTGTTCAGACTTGCGAAATGCTCTCACGGCCGTAGGCGTGTTGGGCTCGCAGTGGCGGTTCTCTTTTGGCATCGGCCCTAATAAAACCGCCGTTCTTGTTGTGGGATCGCGCACGACAAACTTCACGTTCCGCCTTCAAGGAGCACGTATGCCTTCTGTGCGTCAGTACTGTTACGGGGGAGTGGTGTTCCAGGCTTCCAGGAAGTGGCGTAAGCATGCCCAACGCCGTATTGAGAGGACCACTGGCAAATTTCATCAGAGTATAGGCTGGGCTGAGAACCGAGGTTTGTGCACCAACTTCCGCTCATTTCCGCTCTAGTTTTTTCCGTGCCTACGTGCTGCCTTCCGTCTTATACGGCTCTCAATTCTTGGATGGGGCGTCGCGCCGCTTACTGGATCAAAAAGTGCGGCAGTTTGGGCGCCGCCTGCTTATGTGGCCTGGGGGCTCCGCAAGTGCAGCTGTTGTGGGTGCGCTGGTCTGGCCGCCCATGTCAGTTGAAGTGCGACGCTTGCAGTTCAGCCTGTTTGGGCGACTGAGTGCCGCTGGTAGCATGGGTGATGGTCGCACCCTGGCATGTCGAGTGTTCGACTATGCTGTACATTGCTGTACAAGTACTTGAACCCTCCCGTAGCTCGCAGCTGAAACGTGCTCTGGGACCGCGGTCACTGTTCGAAAAGAGGCGCGTGCAAAAAAAAAAAAAAAGTACTATAGGATCCTGGGCCCATGATGTCAAGCTGAAGTTGCAGTCTTGTGGTGATCCGCTGCCTGCCGATTGCAGTGGAGGCGGTCGGTGGTCCAACCTCTCTTGCAGCGTGAAGCGTTGGCACAATACCGCCAAGAGATTGCGGCAATCCCTTCCCTAAGGTGTTATCTCGAGTATCAACCGCATTTGGTTTGCGCATCGCAAGTACAGCGTGGCAGGCTTGCGCCGCATGTCATCCGTGAATGGACATTGGCCCGATGTGGTCACCATCCCCTCCCAGATGGGCGTAGCGCACGTCACCGTGCTACTGTCTCACATCAGCCATGCTTGTGTGGCGACCCACACTGGGGTCTGAGACATGGGCTTCGGGCCTGCCCTCTCTTTGGTGAGCAACGTGAGAACTGGATGCTTCACATGCAACGCTGTCGAGTTGAGGTTGCGAAACTCTGCGATGATGATTTCTTGCGCTTGGTTTTTATGCCACAGTATCCATTCAATTCCGCCTCATTGATTTTAATTCATGTGCGTTTCGTAGCTTCTGTCTGCACAACGCAACGTTGGCTTTTAGGTGGTGCGCTTTCGCTATAAGTGCGAGGCGTTTTTTTCACTACTGACCGCGTGGACGGTTGTTTCAGGTCTGAGTCTGTCTGTTTGACGGCTGTAAAAAAGGGGGGCCTGCTGCGACCGCATTGCCGGCATCTTGATCGCTCGCAGGGTGGACCGCGCAGCGGGGCATGGTTGGCGGCTGTGTTGAGAATTGCCGAGCGCAGTACGCACTCCGCTTACCCGGTGCTGAATGCCGGCGGCCCTCAGCAACTTGTCGTTTTAGGACCTAGGATTCGAGGTTGGGGACCGCTGGAACGGACAAACCGCCCGCTTCGTGAGCGACCTCATCCGTGCGCGGGTTCGGCGAGACCCACCCGCATCCACCCGCCCTCCGCCACCGGAGCTTGCTCGGGGCTGCGCTTGTGTACAGGTGTCGTACGTCAGCGACCTGCCAGGTGGACAAGAGATGCGTGCAGCAAGAAAGAATGATTCAATATGATTATATATGACCCATATATGACCTGATCCGACCTGGCGCCGGCCAAAGCCTTGCAGTAGCGATGGTCCAAGCAATGTGCTATGCATGCCCCGCAGCGAGCTTGCAAGATGTTTGCCGTGTGGTTGCTGTGGCTGCAAGTTGCCGTCGACGGAGCATCTTTCGGATTTGGTTGGTTGCCTGGGAACGTGGCTCGTTCATGTTCAGCATGCAAAGCGCTGGTTCATGGGACAGCGGTGTTTCTTGCAGCCGTACTATCGGATTGTGGACACGACCCCATGTTCCAAGCTCAAGTTAGAGAGCGATTCGTGTTGAACTGTTTGAACTGTTTTCGACGAAATGATGCCGCTGTGTGCTGAGCAGCGGCAGCGGCGGTAGTGATGCCACATGCGAGGCTTGCAAGCCAGAAAACCCCGACTGACAGCGGAAACGGCTCTGTTGGAAGGTCGGATTCGCCGTCCAGTTATTCAAGCTATGCAACATCGAGCAACTCATCGACCTTGAGGTCGGCGAAGCTTCATTCCCATCCCATCTTTGCGTTTAGGGGTCTGAAAAAGCATTTGGCTGTTAAAAGATGTCGCTGGGGAGGCGCAAGTTGCAAACTGCCGTCGCCAACCAGAACGGAGGACTGTTCGGGCATGCTGCGCGAAGGCATCATGCTGTCGATGCCGAGTGGCCCGTGGAAGGCAAGTTTTCGCGCCGGGATGATAAGGCCTTTTGGTCTGCAACTGGTGTGCAACGCCTCCGGCCTTGATTCCAGAGGAGCAAAAACGAACTCCGAGCACAACGACATTGCCGTGATCAGCCCCAGGAAAAGATGCTGCGCAGACGTGTTTGATCTCTTGTTGCAGATGATCCTGCAGTTTTGCAATCTCAGGCAACGTCCTGCTGCACCCACAGCGGCGAAGGCGCCACAGGCCCGAACAAGAAACAGAATTAGCCGAAGTTTCGTTAGGTTGTGAGGGTGGGGAATGAGTGATAAGGGTATGCTGCAACACATGTTCAGGTAGACGAAATCGAAAACTTGCGGGAGATGCTTGTCCTGGCCTGAAAGATGTGTCCGTGGCCGCTTATGCTTATGAACTTTTGCTGCGAGCTTTTGAGGCCGAAAAGCAGCAAGAAATGGCCGAGGAAGACAGCTTTGTGGTTTGTAATAGTCTTGGCCTTGCGGGCATCGTTGTCGCTTGAGGCTCGTTCGTTGTAGAATCTAGAAGTCCATGTGAAAAGATGCGGTGAGGTTGCACAGGAGCACATGTCGACATGACGACTGCGGCAGGAGAAAAATCCAGACCGCAAGAAGGCAGTGGGCATTGTTCACCTACATGCAGCGTTGAAAACTTGAACTGAGCAGGACCTTGCAAAAGATCTTGAGATCTTGAAACAATGGCTAAAAGACAAGGAGCAGAAAGCAGAAACAGGGAAGGCTGGGTCTGCCGTTTGAACACAGTCTGGATGTATGCATTCTGGAAGAGATGCTAGGACGTGAAAGGTGGTAAGGCTTCCGGAGTCAAAGCGCAGGCGCGGAGACCACAAGCAATGAGTTTGCAGAAAGCATCGATCGCACCCCGCAAGCACGGTTGATCGATGTGTTCATGGTCTGGTGAAAGAAGACAACGGCAAGCTTGGCAGGCCGGTGTGGCCAAAACAACCAAAAAGGAGGTCCCACATGTTTCCGTTTGGCCAAGATCAGAGTGGTCCAAGTCGCTCGTGTTGCTGGGCCAGGCCAACGATGGCAGGAGTGCCCCTGTACAGAAGAAGCAAGCCGAGGAGTTAGCATCCTTCTGATTGATCCCGATGCATGAAGAAGCGTTGTCCATGCAGGCACCAAGCCAGAAGGATGGCAAGAACAAGGAGGTGAGAAATATTCGAGTGCCATTGTGTTTTGAAGCACTGCGTGCAAACATTGCTCAGGTTGACAAGAAGTCGAAAAAGGCACCGGTGCAGATTCATTGCAAAGTTGCCTCCCTGCTTGCCCACTTTGACAGGAGACAAAAGAGAAAGCCAAAAAACCGGCCGCTAAGATAGCAAAGGCACCAAAGTCCAGTGCCAAGGTAGTTAGTTTCAAACTGACACCTTCCTTTCAGCTCGGCTTGACACACCATGCCGGATGCTCCAGGAACAAAAGCCACCTGCAGGAGACATGGCGGCAGACGACCAGGAATGCTTTTGTGCATCGCGTTTGCTTATCATGTTTGGTTTAGTTTTTCTTCCCAGCTCAGGCCATGCAGACAACTAAGACTACGTACACCTGACGCAGGCGGAAACGAAGAGATTAAAGAAGACGCCCGACGTCCAAGAGGTGCTACAAGTAGCCTGCTATTTCAAACAAAAACTACTTCCAGCTTTCATGCCCAATGTGCCGAGTATCAGCATGCATCTTCCTGTCAGCACGCCCTCGTTCCTTTTGTCACTCTTTTGTCTCGGACAGTCCTCCAAGATTCCTACTATGATAGGGATATACAGGAATGCATGATGTCAGTGGCTGCGAGATGACAGTGTGTATCGTGTTCAAACACAGCCGATCGGAAAGCTTCACTCTGCTTTGCCGTGGAAGGCATCGACGAAGGAAGAAACGGCAGAGGCAGTTCATGTAGCGCAGATGTGCGAAAATCATTCAAAATCAGAGGCACGCACAGTCGGCACATTCCACTGTACATTGCAGGCAGCATTGGCCGGCAATTTTCGTTCAATATACAAGTTCAAGATATAATGTGTCGGCTCGGAATCCATGAGGGCCATTGGCAGCATATGGGCTCCATTGCAGGTAGCTGACACTGCTCGTACTGCGGCCGGGTCATGGTTTTTTTCGACTGTCTCTTCGTTTCCTTCGCGGCCTTTGCTCTGGGCAAGCTGTCGCCGGGGGAGGAACCGTTGCCCGCGATGGCTGACAGTGGGAAGAAGGAGTTCGACGCGATTGCAGGGGCAACTGCAAACTCTGAGTCTCGCCCAGTATATGTCAGAGTGGCGTAGCGGCGCAGTTCCGAATCCACCGCCTTGCGACGTCTTGTTGGAATCGCAGCGAATACTGAGTAGAGTGTGAGTAGTGCAAGTAGCCGTGAGGTTGACTTGGAATGTATTGTCAGTGATAGGTGACAGACATGGAGATGTCCGCAGGTGGAGGGCCTAACGGCAACCGTTCAGTCCAATCCGCTGCAGTTCCCACTTCTGACCGACTTCTGGTGTGCCTACGAATTGACCGACCGCAAGCGCACACCAGCACTTCTCATAGATGATATGCAGGCCAGGAATTCGTTGGTTCTCGGCTGGAAGAGTTGAGAAGTGGGCAGCCATGCAGGTGGAGTATGCAGAGTATGTGCATGGAATTGTCCCGCAAGTGAAGTTGCTCTTGGACGCCTTCCGCGAGGCAAAGGGCAGATCCGGGGACCCGGGAGGGGGGGGGGCGTGTCTCGTAGGTCGTAGGCTTCCAGATATCGAGGCAGGGCTCCCCATCTTCTGGAGCACATGGTGGCGCTGGGGCCCGGATGACGGATTCTTCAATTCTATGGATCGTTTCTATGGTCCCATTGGGCACCTCAGCCTCCATTCGCAACCTAAGCTCTGCAGGATCCGACACGTTTGACACGATTCTTTCGTTCATCAGAATTCCGTCTGAGGTGGAACACGAGCTCCAACGCTTTGTACAACCACAACCGGAATGGAGGCGCCGCTTGGCGCAAACCTCCCCGGTTGTACAGGGAGGGAAGAGCGAGGTGAGGCATAAATCATCGAGTCCCAGCGGCAATCTTCTTTAGTTTTATGCTCGATTTGCTGCCAGGGGTGATGGCGATTGTGTGTCCTAGTCCTTTGCCTGTGTTCAAGAAGAGCCAGAACAGACAAAGTGAGGAAAGGAAGACAGAAACGGAGGCTGCATCATGTCGACAGGTCCGTTGCTCTGCATTGTAGTGCCCAGCCATGATTTCTTTAAGAAATGGCCAACGAGGATGTCTTGCCGGCGGTGGCACCGCAAACTCCATTGGAATGGCGCCGGGTCATGCACAAAAGCTATTCTCTCGACATGTTTGACGAGCGACCTATGGAGTGGGCATCGCCCAGCGACCAAGGCATGCTTACAGTGCGTAAATCCGTTTACTGATCCACCCAATAGCCCAAAGCCTTCCTGCAGTGTCTGCACTTCACGTTACAAGCTGGAGACTCGACCTGTGTTCACGATTCTTCCTGCCATGCAACATTCAGAGTGAAGTTAACCCTGGCAAAGGAACATTGCACGTAGAGCTTCAGAAGCTGGGTGTCGACACCGTGGTTCAAGTGGGTGCCTGGACGGATGACTGCATCATCTCCACTGCATTTCATGCATTCAGTTTGCAATACGACGTCATTTTGATCGAGGATGGCGTCTCCACTGCGAGCAAGCAGCACTTCAATGCAATCGAGGTCATGAGAGGGGCGTTGGCCAAAGTGCTGTTTGCTGCGGATGTTGCTGCCTACATCCGGAAGGGGCTTCCAGTCTTGGAAGCGCGAGCGCCCCAGGCGAAGCTCGCCGGATCCCGGGCCCAGGCCTGGGCCCGCAGGCCCGCCGTGCTCGCGCTCGCGTCCAAAGCTGACGCTGAGCACCAAGAGCCTTTGGCTTCGGCGGCATCCGAGCGCATTTCGGTTGATGTCGCCATGAGGTTAGTATTTGCAGTCGGCTGCACGAGCGTCTTTTCCTTCATGTCGGGCTGGGTCCTACGAGGAGTTCTGTCTCGCAAAATGCGAGATGGCGACACTCATGATCGGCAATATCGCCAATTCATGTGACAAGGTCTGCGAAGGCCAATATTGCATATACTGCATCTTGGTGAGCAAAAGCTGTTCACGACAGCCTGCCGTGATCGAGGCTTTAGAACAGGACCTAAACCGAAGGCGTACGTGAAACAAATCAAGGACAGCTGTCGAAATTCGCATTGCCATCGGATCGATGTCAACCCGATGGCACGAGCAGAATTTGCATGAGAATGTAAGTAACCTAAAGTCTGGGATGCTTGCATCCCGGCAACGTCAGCTACACACACTGCATCATTGTGTCAAATGTCGCAGAAGTTGCGACAACAACTCACCACACATACACTGACACACATAGTTTCCGAATGTTTCCGACGAAGCTGCCAAGGCATGGCAATCGGCAGTCCATTCCTGTGGTTATCGAACGGCACTATCCGCTTTGGATGCGAAGGATTAATGCTCTGCTGTTGGCGACATTAGGGCCTTCTCCACTAATGCATGCAGAAGTTGCAGGATTGTGCAATTTCTGAGTTTCGCGTGAGTGCAGATCAGTGATTACATGAAATTACATGTATATAGTCCTGGAAAGGCAAAGAGCCAAAGCCAACTCGAGAAGGATCGCCTTTTGCAAAACGACGACACCATTTCGTCAGGGCCTGAACCTCGACAGCCTCGCACGCATGACTTTGCAAGCGTCCGTGCAGTATATGTCTCAGGCAAGCCAGGAGCGAGATTGAGCAAACGTGGAAGCAGCAGAAGACGGAGGAAGTTCGTTTGCAAGCTGGAGCACAGACAACACGAGCTGCTAGGTTTTGTGATTTCCTGCAGGCCTGTGTTCCTGCTGTACCGTCTGCCGTGCCGGTGGCCTAGCCCTTCGCTACATCAACGAATGGAGTAGTTGGCCAGAACTTGGGCTGACCAGCGGGTTAACCATTAATCTGTTTAAATGAACTGCGCCATTCAAAAAACCAAAGCATAGGGCATCATCAGGCACTGCAGGAACGGCAACGGCCACGAAGATCTGGCCGAGTCTTCTTCTTCATGTACAGTCCTCCAAGAACATCCACACGGTACAGCTTCAGCTATCGTTGCCCGGAAACAGATTCAATGAAGAATCGGACAGGGCATTGGCCAAGACTTGGGGATGCTACTGGTAGTGCATCTAGTGCCATGTCGACATTGTCAAGAGGACAGCATCTTGTCGGGACGTCGCTCGGGGTTGCGGGCAAGTGGCACCATGTCACCTCACTTCCTGTTAGTTCACCCCTTTCAATGTCGCAGCCTTTCGTGTGTGACAATCTTTCCGCGCCGCTGGAATTGCAAATGCCGCGCTTCCGATGTTTGCCGCTCTGGAGACCGAATGAATGAACCTGACAATGTCGGGGCGAAGCAGCAGATGTGTACCAGGTCGCCTGCAGCAGCTGCGTGTACCAACAACGACGTTCCATGTCCGAATTGATTGCAAACATAATCACAGTGTCAACTCCAGATAAGGCGATTCCGCGATTGATAAACAGCGCTATGTCCACTGTACCTGCCCTCCATCGGCAGGGCCGTGAAGAGCGGTAGATGATTCAGCACATGAACGAACATGTTTCATCCGATCTGCAGTTTCTGTGGTTCATGCGGCTTTGGCAGCTAGTCGCTGCCGCTTCGGGGGCCTCTGGGCAAATCGTTTCGGTTCTCTTTCGGTCTGTGCGGAAACTGGGTCGTGATTCCGGGATCCTCATTCCTCCCGACCCTGTTTTGCCTCCGCGACTTGCCTGGCTCTTGGGCGTGGGACTTTGCTCGGGGACTATCATCTTCCCTCTCTTCTCTCGGGCATCTTCCTCGCCCTATGCATTGGGCCAATCCTTGACTTTCTGCTGCTGGCTCGGCTGGAGCTCCTCCGGAGCTTCGGCCGTAGCAGACCTTATCGCCAGGTTCTACAGGATCCTTGAATGAGCTTGCGGGCCAAGGTGGCTTCTCGCTTCGAAAGTCGGATTCTGGAGTCCAGGTGGTTTCTTCGCGTTCCGGCTGCCCCTCCTCGGCTCGTGCCAGTGAGAGCACGGCTGCACCCGGAGTTTTCAGTAACGGTCCAGCGCTGCCAATCCGGAGCCCAGGGTGCATACGGCACAGGGTGTAGGCAGGTTCCTTGCTGGACGCCTGAGTGGTCTGGCCACTGGCAGCTCTCGTCGTGAGGCCTTGCATCTGTCTAGCCGCGTGCACAGTGTTTGTTGAGATGCCATCGGCGACTACAACCCTCCCATCGTGACCTCGAGCTTCGCTCTCGCATTGCGGAGCTTCGGTGTTGATCGGTCATCTCGGGCAGAGGTCAGGCCTAGAAGTGCAGGACTCCCTTGCCCGAAGGTGGTGATGCCGAAGTGAGCCGGGTGAAAGGGAGAGCCGAGCCCGCCGGCCCGGTTTGATTGGTCAGAGTGCCGGCAGTGGGGACGCTTCAGATTATTGGGGGATCGCACAGGTGGGGGGTGGTTCTGGTGCCTCACAGCACCTGTGGATTGTGACGCTGGCCCCCTTCGCGTCGAGCCACGCCTGCGTGTCTCCGGATCGCTTGTTGTTGAGCTGTCGAAACCCCCTTTGCCATCCGACACCAGTCGGTGCCCAGGAGTATTTTCCTTGGAGGAGCAAGCAGCATCCAGCCGGTCTGCGAGCCAAGCTAGCAAGGTGAGGGAAGGAAACGCCATGTGGTTGAAGAATTGAGGGTCTGGAGTCTGGATATGATTTACTTGATCGAGAACCCTCTGAGCAGATCTGAGCAGCTGGATCTGTTTCGCCTCTGCGACTTTTGCGTGGAACTGCCTGGACGAAGCCAACAGCCAACGGCCAGCCAAAACAGGATGCGCAACTGAGCCGCGGGCAGCAAAAGCACTTCCTCAGGAGACGAGCTCCTGAGCCGTATCGACGGTTCTGTTCTGCACAGGCTCTCGCACATGCTGGATCTGCGAGAAGAGGCCCAGTGCACGAACGCGAGAATCGGCGAAGCTGGGAATCCTGGACCTTCTGACGAGTGCGGCATGATGTTCAGCTGCTGGATGTTCAGCTCGTCCAAGCATCGACTTCCGCTCTGCAGAAGTCTGTGTGGGATAGATTCCTGAGGTGGCTCCGAGAAAGAGCTGGCGAGGATGCGGCGTCCAACGTCGCTTCTCTTCCTAACGTGCTGGTCGAAATGCCTTGTGCTTATGGACAAGTGCTGTATAGTCAGTGTGCTCCTCTTCAGCACTAGTGGCGGAGTCGTTTCGGTACGCTTCGGTTCACTCCTGGGTCACTTTGTGGTGGTGGCGCCATGGCCGTGTAACAAAGCGGCTTGGACATCCCCACGTTACAATGGCGTGTGCGCCTTCAGCACCAAGCTATTCTGGCGCTTTGTCACTTTGCCTTCCGGAAGCACTGCAGGGTCGGTTCTGCCAGCTTTAGTGGGAAAGTCCCGAAGCTATCCCGAGAAACGTTTTGGGGTTCTTTATTGCTACTGCCCAGCGCTCTTCTGCCAGCCCTTCAGAGCTTGACTTCAGCTGGCCGGGCATGATGGTGGACTCGACTGCACATAAAGGTGTGCTGGCAGTCGCGAGATAACATTTGCTTGGTTGCAGAGTGAAAGGAACGAGAAGCAGGGAAGGGTGGAACATGCACGAACATGTATCATCCGATCTGCAGTTTCTGTGGCCCTGCCGCCATGGCGGGGGTCGACTGCGCACAAACATGGGCTGGCAGTCGCGATCCAACCTTTGTCTCGTTGCGGAGCAAAAAGACCGAAACCGAGAAGCAGGGAAGGGCGGGGTGTGTGCCGTTTGCCAATTTTTGTTGGTTTCATGTTCCATGCTGCATGATGTCGAAGATATTTGCACAGGATTGTCTTGCATCCTTTTGTTTTACTCTTAGCTTTATCTTATCTGTTGAGACGGCGTGAAGCTGTTTTGCTTGAGTAGTCTTTGCCCGAAGCAGCAGCACAGACCCGAAGCCGGATCAATACAGCGTTACACCGTGAAGCGGTGTCGTAAACTCGACATAACAGGCTACAGAAGTACTGTGGCTGTGACAGCATCTCCATCGCCTCTGTCTGGGGCGTCACATTCCGGTTCGCGTGTGGGAAGAGCACCTGGCGCAATTCCGATCGGCTAGGCTGTAAATTTGAGGTTTGTTTGAGCAAGCTGCATTTGCATGTGGATGGGTTCATTTGTTGTTGTGAGGTGTGTCGTCTTCTTACAGGGCACCGCGTACTTGATGTTGACTATCCCCACCCCCACCACCACCACTATCGTTTCTGCCACCACTTGCTACTGGTACGATGGCGGCTTCTATACTACCATTACATAGCTGTGAAACTGGACTAGCTGCTCCCTCGACACCATGGAAGCACGGACAAGGCTTTGGAAACAGTGTCTTGGTTTGTGTCCCAGAGCCGGCACAAAGCAGCCACTACCAACAACGAGCAATCGCAACTACCAACGACCACGATGGCTGATAAAGTACGATATACTGTAGAAGCTTCTCCATGCATAAACCGTTTGTTCAGACCTTGCGTGGGGTCGAGGGAAGGACCAACAAGCGGCAACGATCCGAAGCCCTGTGTTTGGGTGTAACTATGAGCAGAGAGCCGGATCCCTGTCACGAAACTAGCACTAGAAACATGTCAGGGATGGCGAATGTTGGACTGTGGTGCTTGGGAGCTGTGGCGTGTAGTCGCCTAGTGCTCGTAATGTGTTCTTTTGTTTCTTGTGGTCCCGGCTGCGTGATGTAATTAGGCAAAGCTGATGTGGAGTAGAGCCTGGGTTCAAAAATTAGGCAAACCGCCGACTGAATAGGGACGTGGAAGTGCACAGGCTTGGAGCTCTGCCTCCAAAAAACATGTCACGCGAAGCCAAGCCCGCGACCACCCTGCGCCGTTTGCGTGCCCACCGCGTCACGTTTGCGAACTCACACTCCAATCGTGTGGAAGGCGTCGCACTTGCAGCAAACGGCTGCCCAATGCACTACGCCGTGAACAGCCCGTCATGAAATATTCTGAAATGTGTTTTGGAATGCGGGACTGTGGACATCAGCGAAATTTCTAGCTTCCTTTTTTCACTTGCACGCCGCGGCAGTGTATTTCAGTAGATTCAGTACCCACACTTGCGCATGTCTCGGCTTTTTCACAGTTCATGTTTCTGAATGGTCATGTCAGTCAGCCTTCGGAAGGATTCAATGGAGGGGATATCGGATATGGCATTCATATTGATCACTTCGTCCTTCTTGCTTTCACGCACATATTCAAATTCACTGGAGGCTCAGTCCCCCGACATCGAAGCATTGCTTATGCAATGAAGCACTCCTAATCATCGTCCAGCTGCAGCTGGAATGCAGGGATCGAAGCTTTTTGCCTGTGCTTCGAGTATGGCTGAATCTAAGGGAAACTGCGGAACCGGCGGAGATGGCGACTGCGGCCCCTAAGCAGGCATGGCCCGGCAGAGATGCGCAGTATCCGGTCTGCCTTGCTCGGTTTTCGGGGTGAGAGCCGACCGGGCTGTGGAGGGATTGCCCACCTCAGGACGCGCCGCCCCAAGAATTCGTGCTGGCCAGCGAGGCTGCCAAAGAGACGCTGTTTTGTATTTTGGTTCAGCGGACGTCGGACAAGTGAGTGCGGGCAGTGAAGGCCCGCGACGAGAAGAACCATCTTTCGCGCATGATATGTAGGAACATGCAGGAACACGGACCATAGTGCTTGGAGTCAAGGAATGGAGGCCGAGGCCCTAGGCATCATGATGTGGCCGGACCCGGGGAACAGCAAGCAACAAAAGCAAGGTAACTCAGTCAGGTCAGCAGACGGAAAAGGGTGCAGGAGGACAAAACGCACAAATACTTGCAGCAACTTTGGTGCAACTCAAAGGTATGATTGGCGGCAAGCCTGAATGACCAGAAAGCAGGACTGCCACGATGCGGTTCGACTATGGCAATCAAGATGTCAGCTTAAACAGACTGCAACCATGAGATGCCACACGCACCGTGAACGCTACTGTAGCGAGAAGCTGACTTCAGTCTAGTGTTGAAGAGCCCAGGCACGTATGTAGCGACTTTCGGGAAAGCAGCTTCGGGAAACATGCCGTTTCTTGGGCGTTTGTGCATGGGACGTCTCGTCGTGCATTCACATTTTGGCATGTCCTGCCCTCCTCAGCACCGCCCCACCACACACGCTTGAAGTTTAGATTATAAGCGAAGGCCACCACCTTGATGCCGTCGGAGAAGGCAAGCGGGGTCAGCATTGCGACTCCAACATTCGATAGGCAGCAGCCTTCATGAAGCGCAGTGCCATGCTGGTGTCAACTCTCGCTATGTCGCATCTTGATGTGCTCTAAACTGCGAGCGAAGATGCTAAAATTATTAAGAACTGATGCTTCACTGAACCTTGCATGCTGCTAGGACATGTCCATGCCTGAGTGAGGTGCCCCCCTGCGAACTTCCTCTGTGGTCGGCTCCTGAGATCTCCATCGTAGCATGCTCACGTTGACAAGCCTGTTGTGAGATACACGACGGACATGTTGGCAAAGCAGCTTCGGCACTTGCGGCGGTGCCTGTCCGACCAAACGCCTTGCATTATTTGGCGCCAGCATGCGCCAGCCATTTTGCCAGAAGCAACTGTGCCGTGTGGCAGCTGCTGCTTCAGAAAGTTGCTGGGCTGGCGTTTAGCCGCTTAGCCTGTTTACGGAACCACTGCGCAAGAAAAGAGTCCAGCTCGAGGCCCAGTGTGATACCCAACAGGGCAGCAGATGTGTCGTCGAGATTTTTGGACGTGGTGTGTGATCACGAAGTGTATTGATCTTACACAGCTTGCGAAGAGCAAGATTTTGCTAGCCATGCCTCGATGGCTCCTCGCCTGAGGTCGGCACGAATGGGAAGCGTGCTGTATCCTCTCGATTTCTTGGGGGTCTGGAATCCTAGAGCTTTTCATATTCTCAGATTCCAGACCCTTAGAATGGCACCCCCTCACACACCCCTGAAACCCTGAGTCAGGCCACACGAAACCCAACCAGCCCGTTGCCCTTACCCAAGAGCCCATGCTTCGGCCATCACCGGGATTCGCTGATACTCCATGGCATTTTACAAATGGTCAAAGCTTGATGTGTTGTAAAATCTTGCTTCGTGCCCGCAAGAAAAGAATGTGCCCTCTCCATTTTTGATCTTTGAGAAGGCGGATTTGAAGCCTACGTTCTTCGATATCGATATCATCAAGAAATCGGTTAGTTTCAGTAATACGACTTTTGTCAGAATTTCTGTTAACAGCTGTTGGTCTCCAGGAACTGAAGCTTGCGTGTGTCCGCTTCTCATGTACCAAGAACCTTTGCGACCTTTACTCTGTGAAACTTCTCGCCTGTCATAGAGCAAACCTTTGCCGTCTTAACCCGCATAAAGAGCCCCAAACAAGCTGCATATACTAGACTTCTGCATCGTTCTGTCTCGATCTTCCCAGGTTGCGTTTACGGCCCTGAGTGAAGCCTGATCCTCAAATCACATCTTTGTCCAAGACCCTGAATAGCTTCTTTTGGAGTGTTCGCGACTCTGGGATGCTTTTTCACCCTCAGCGAGAGCGTCAAGCCCTAAACGCCCGGTCAATGTCTGGAACTTGCAGTCCGGGGCCTTCGGTATCCTTCGGTTTCGGGGTCATGGAACTGCCGGGGGGTCTGAGATTTTGGCGAGTATAAGTCTTAGGATGTTCAGCGTACTCAGGGAACGTACGGCTTGTAACATACTTGGAGTTGAAGGTGCTTCGGGCGTACGGGCTTTTACAAAAGTTAAAAGTATTTGATATCTTAGTTCGCTGCAGTTGTCCTTGTTGATCAGGGGTCACGGTCGGTTTCAGTAGTTCTCTAAATTGGTGTGGGGCTCCAGTGCTTACTTTGGGTGGTGAAGGTGGTGCGGTGGTAGCGGAGCAGGGTCGCAGGAGCGGCCAGGTGTTGGATGGGATGGTACGTCGCATGGAGATCACGGAGAGCTGGTAGGGGTGGTAAGGGCTGTGGTGAGGAATAGGGGGTTGGCAATATCGCGATATCACGACACCTAGAGCCGTGGGCCCAAGGCCAAACTGGCTTCGGGTCCGCGGCCCATGTGCATCATCGCTGAGAATCGCTGGAAGGCGAAACCGGGAGCTCTTCAATCGCGATATGCTCTTGGCAGGGTGACAAACTTGGAGACCTCAACGGACTATTGCTAGCTGTTTGCACAGTACTACGCCGATGGAGTGAACGCAAGCATCAGGGGGCGCAGACATTCACCCGAGTTCCGGTTGTTGCCAGAAATTTGTAGCCAATCAATCCGGGTTGAATCAGTATGGCGGACCTGCAAGCTGAGAACATATTCATTGAATCTGCAGCTGCATTTCCCCGCTTGACAAGTGCAATAGCAGGTATTGGAAGGCTTGAACCAAAAACTGTTCTCTTGCCTGCGGCGCCCTGCAGAACTATATGCATCACTGGTTAGATCTGTTTGTTGTGTGCATGCCGCACACACTCACGTGCGAGCGTGTGCGGCACCTTGCGGCGACTCAAGTGCCGTCATGCGCCTTCCAGTAACTGTTGCACCACTGTTGTGCAAGGCTGGTCTGGACGGGTGGGACAGGATCCTAGGGTCTCCTAGAGGAACGTCACCGGCTTTAAGAGAAGCTTTCCCAGCCACAGACTGGGATTCCAGGCATTTCGTAATTAATCATTTCCCCTTCGTTCTGCTGTTTGCAATTTTCGCTGGTTAATCATAGTTGTATCATTGTGATATATCGTGTTTTGTCTTCTTAGGGTGGTGGACGGAAGCAGCGAGGGAGGAAGGAAAGCCGGCGGGGGAGGGGTGTGTGTTATTACCCGCTCGTCGGTTTCCGTTCCCCGCTTCCTTCTGCTCACCCCCAGAACAATTAGAATTAGAGATGAAAACACTCCAGCCAGAGTGCTCCTCTACCCCCTTCCTTCCTCCCACCTTCCCCTCACCTTCCACACCCCAAAACGATAAAAGAATGAAACACTCCAGCAAACGGGCTCCCCCTCTCCCCTTCCTTCCCCCCACACCCCAAAATTACAAAAAAGCTGAGAGCACTACGGCAAAAGTGCTTCCCTCCACCTCCCTTCTACCCATCTTTCACACCCCGAAATGCAAAGGAAACACAAACAAAGGAAGACACTGCAGCCAATGTGCTTCCCCTCTTCCCTTCACCCCACCCCTTCTCCACCCCCAAAACGATATACACATATCAGAAGATGTTAAGAACTGAGAACACTCCAGCAAAAGTGCTCCCCTGCTCCCTTCCTTCCCCTCGCCTGCCCCGCACACCCAAAACGGATAAAAACAGGAAAACAACAACACTCCGGCAAAGGGGCCTCCCCCCCTTCCTTCCCCCCGACCCTCAAAGTGATAAGAACATGCAAACACCAGCAAAAGTGCTCCCCTCCCACTTCCTTGCCCCCACCTTCCCCCACACCCAAAACGATGAAAAGCAGAAGCAATTGAAAACACTCCAGCAAAAGTGCTCCCCTCCCCCCTTACCCCTCACGTTCCCACACGCCCCAAAACTAGAAATACAGAATAAAATGACACATGAAACATTTCCTCAACTTCATTGTGTGGGTGTGGAATTTCACAACACTAGCTGTTACGAGGCTGTTGCGGTTGTCTTGTTGCTGCACAAGAATGCGCATCCCGACCTTGCCGGCGCCAAGTTTTCAAACTCGGAAGACACGGCACTCTCGCCGGACGCGTCACCGAAGCTGGTCAAAAGCCACGTGCTGACGAGCAGGTGCTTGTGGGAGCACAGCGGTCCCGTCGTCCCAGCTGTTGCAGCATACCGGTAGACAGCCTAGGTGCGTGATGCCGAACCCGAGAGACGTGGCGGAGCTGGCGTGCTCTTTCAGACCTGCTGGGGGACTTATGGTCAGTGCATCCCCTCCTGATGTGGCACGAACTCAGGACAAAAGCCTGGAGACAAGAACCTAAGTGATTGACGGTGCGTGATAGTGGCGCACAGCCTGGGCTTCGGAGCTTCGGGTCGTTGGTACCCTCGGGCGGACCTCCATTTTGCTAATTAGTGCGTAGTGAGTAGGGCTTCTGTCAACCACTGGGGTACCCGGAAGACTGACGCGAGGCGGATCTTCATAGCATGATTGAGAGCGAGCAGCGAGAGAGTTGCACAATTCACCGTTGTCACTTGAACCAGGGAAAGAGGGAGGGAGGTATCGAAGGGTATGCATTCTCGGTGTTCTCGTCTGCCAACCCCTGCATGGCACGGCTGTCCGTTTTGAAAAGTCTTAACGTGGCAGGAAAGGGTCTTGGAAATTGTGTCAGCCTCAGAGACAATCAAGTGAAGCTTGCTTTGCAGCGTCCCAGCTGCAAAGTAAACTTGGCACAGACTAGCAGAGTCCCTGCCTGGCAGATCCTTGGAGCCACGTGCACTGGTAGAATGTCAGAAAAGGCACCATGGATTAGAAAAGCCAACAGAAGTACAGCCTGCAGGTGAGGCATGTTCCTGGAAGCAGTGTCCCCTCGAAGCGCATGAGGTTGGGACGCCGGCTGCCCAGGAAGTATGTTGAAGTGTTCGGGATCAGATATTCGGATATTCGCCCCCATGAGGTCGCGCCTGGGCACTCCTGGGGCGGAGGCGTGGACACAAGATGCAAGACAAGTGTTTGGAGGGTGACTTCGGCAATGGCTGGAACGAACTGGAGCACTTTCTGCAACACAAGAACAGAAATACAGCAAAAAAATGAAACCTTTGGCAGTTATATAGTCGGAATACAGCACTGCACCACGCCATAGGTTCGCGGCCCAGCCACCTTTATCCCCGCATTCACGTGGGGAAGGTCGCCGTTGCAGCGGTAGCATGGTAGCGCTTTCCGGACACAGTCCTGCAGTGGACTGCAAAGCCCAAAAAACCTGCCAAGAAGGGCCACCACCTCCACAGCCATGGTTCTTTCCGGTTGTGCATGCAGCTGGCTTTCGAAGGCAGCCGGCCCGGCGGCCTATCCGTGATCAGCTCACAGCTGCTCTGTCGAACCGCTAGTTTGCGACTGCACCTATTTGAGCTGGTCCTTTCCTCTCGCCCCGGATTGCATGCTGAATGAAGCAATGCAGCAAGCTGAAAATTGCAGCATGCTAAACCATGCATATTCCGACCGTGTGCGTGACGGACAAGTTCTGGAAGCTTGAAACTGCAGGAACTATCAGTTTTTGTGTTAGAATCTAGTGCAACACAATGCCATGGATAAATCTTTTAAGGCAGTGGAGTTGGCAAGTGTGCGACACTTCCGTACTTGGTGTCTGATGGCATCGGTCCATTTGGCGGATAATGACAGAGAGTCATAACTACATATATCACCTCTGGATATGCACGGCCTCAACGGTTTCTGAAGTGAGGCTTCTTTCTGATGACGCTACTGAGTAGCCTCTGCATGTGCGTCTTCGAACCGTTCCTCGAACTGCTGCCCATTGCAAGTCGGGCTTCAGCAGAGCAGGCTGCATGAAGCGCAAGCTGCAGAAGCTCGGCGAGCAGGTGTGCCCCAGCCGGCCACCCAGCTAAGTTTGCAGTGTCTTTTGCAAGTGAGCGGTTCGATTTTAGTGCAGGCGAGCAGAACGCCCGGATGAACTTTCTATGTGTCGGCATGATATGGCATGTGCACACAGAAGGGGTTTTCAGACAGGGCGCCCAGGGAGTGCAAGTCGGAATCAGATGTCGGGCATTGATGCAGAACCTCCAACCATCCCACCTCAGTCTCAATCAACACTTGTAGACATTTGACATTTGTGCCTTTGAGATGGCAGCATGGAAGCCTTCGTTGCCTGCGATCAACGTGCAGCTCTTGAATGGTTGACGAAGCCTCCGCACCCAGCACATTTGTCCTGGAGCCTTTGAAAAGCATTGAGAGAGCGCAGTGCTAGGAAACATTGGGTCGGGTTGTGTATGAAAACAAGCAGGAGCTTGACCTCCGGTTTGCTGCTAATTCTAGACCCCGGTTGAGGGCGGCTTGGTTCGCCTACGAGTTGCCAAACAGTCAAACTGCAGGAACTGGAGTGCCTCCAGTGCGACAGTGGCCTATCTCTATGCCTAGACGGTGCTGAGGAGATCTTGAGAGCCGGCTCAAAGATTCAGACGACGCTGCTGACAGGAGATTCTTGGCAGGAGGCAGCGACAGCGCTGTATGGTATCGAGGCCAAAGTGGTGGAATCGCAGCCAGATCCGGACGATGTGCGTGGCAGGCACTGTCCTTTGGACTTCTCGATGCTGATAGGTGTGATTGAGGCCTCCTCCGGTAAGTCTGAAATCTGTGCAGACGTTCCAACCGCTGGAAAGTCCTTCAATTTGCGGTTGAAAGGCACCGTGCGATGCATTCCCTGGAGTGGCATAGGGTCGAAAACCGTCCATGTTGACACTGTGTCCAAACACGGCCGGGGTGGCAAAGTGGATGCGCACATCGCAGCCGGGCCACGGACCTGGCGAGTGTCCCTGGAAGCACGATCCGTTAAGCTAAAGACGTCTTCGGCAACGGTTTTTGCTGCTTACTCCTACGGGCCTCTACGCGGGCAATCAGGAGCTTCTCGGACTTTTCGGACTCACCCTCCGGTCCTGGCAAGACACAACGTTACAACTCATCTCCCCAAGGGCTTTGCGGCATATTCGTTTTCCGCAACGAAAGAGGCTTTTGAAGCCGCTTTTGAAGAGTCATTGCACATTGAGTTGTGGATGCGAGATGCATTCCGAAAAGATTCCTTGTTGGCTGTGGCAGAAGTCTCCTTGGCATCAGCGTTCTCACAGCCCTTGAGACGTTCGGCAAGGTTGCCAAGTATGGTCCATGGTTTTCGCATGTTTGACCAAGTGTGTCTTCTCGGCAGTGCCGAAGAGAAGCTTCCAGACATTGTGGGTGAGATCCGCATCCTGTTCTTTGTCGAAGACTTGGGGCCGGCTTCACTGCCTGTGCCTTCCGACGGACCGGCTGCGAGCTTCGGCAAGCTGCCAGACATGCCAGTGAACTCCGTCTCAGGCAATGGACCATCTGACCGCTCTCGCTCTAACCAGGAAGTTGCGGTGAGCTTGGCAAGGTTTGGGCTGCAAGACGACCCAGATGTTCTCGCAGCACTCGCGGCCGAAGGGCTTGAGGCTTTAAGGTCCAACCCTGCATATGGCGTCGTATTTTCCTTAGAGCTCTGGAAGCAGCAGGAGGAGGAGCGTGCCAAGCTTCGTCTTCGAGAGTGCGAGACTCACTTACGCGAGCAGCTTGAGGAGGAGTACCGTCAACGCGAACTGGTGCGGGTGCAGACCTTCAGGCAGAGACAAGTAGAGCTGAGGGAGTTGGAGCAGCGGGCCAAGAAGAAGCTGGCAGAAATCCAGCAAAGGGAGATGTCAGTCAACTCGGAACTGTCCAACTCAGCTGTCCTTCGAGAGCAAGCAAAGCGAAAAGCCGACCTTGCCATCCAGTCTTGTGAGGAAGCTCTGCGACGTCAGAGAGCAGAAACTGCACAGGCGCTGGACTTCGAGGAGAGGAAGCACTCTGCACTGGAGTCCAAACTGAAGGAGTTGGAGCTTGAGGGATCAGAGGCCCGCAAGAAATGTTCGGAGCTGCAGGCCACTTTAGCAAGCAAGGAAGCAACGGACTCCCGTGCAACGTTGTCAGCAGAACACGAGCTGCGGGGTGCCTTGGCTGCACATTGCATGACGATATGTTGGTGATGATCTCGGCTGTTGGTGTTGCCAGCGTGCCATAAGAAAATACCATGCGAAGCTGTGGCTCGACATACAAGTACGTAGGATTTCTGAAGTCGCTCTGCAGGCCTACAGCTGAAGCTGTGTGAGGAAAAGGTGCGGTGTGAAACCCTGGCTGCGTCACGCGACCACTTCCGTCGGAAGGTTGAGGAGCTTTGTCAGCGAATTTTGCACCAGCAAGTGCCAGGGGCTGTGCGAGAGGAGGTGATACCCGCAAGCGAACAACAGTTGTCCGCTCCAGCTCCAGTTCTGCAAGCCGTAGAGGGCAACTCATCTGCACACCCACGAAGCCAGCCGTCGCCTGACTTCAGTTTGGAATGGCTTCAGCAGCAGAAGAGTGAACTGTTGGCGACCGGCCTGTACACAAATGTTTCTTGGCAATGTTCAGTAAGGCATTCACTCCCGCGGAAGAAGTATTCAGCAATTCCGCTTTCGGGCAGCTGGCTGTGGTAAGATACAATTCGGAGCTTTCTGTCAGTCTCCGAGGATGACGCTGTGATCCGGGCACTGAACGCACAAATGGAAGAGCTGCAAGGCAAGCGAGCCCCCTGGGCTTGACTTGCGTTTCTCGCCTGCACCTGTCGAAGAAGGATACGCTAGGATTCAGACACATGGCACATCAGAGTAAATAGATTCGCGATTGTTCGGCCTGCAGGTACGAGGAGAGCTTTCACCGCTCAGCATTCCACGGCCCTTTTCGTCAATGATCGTGCAGTTCAGCCTGGCAACATTACGGGGAAATTGCCGAGCTGCAGGCACCCACTGACTCTGCGACTTTGTTGTTTTGTTCTGTCAGAGTTTCACGAGCGCGGCTTCTTGGCATCAAGAAAAAAAGCAGCATGTAGCTGCATGAAATCGGTCCGGCAGTTTCTCTGGCGCCTGCTATGCATCCAGCCTCAGGCCTGACATTGGCTTGGCCTGTCCTTTGTCGCGAGTCCGCCTTGATTTGCGGGCACAGCACACCCCTTGCCATTGGATTTTGGTCTTCTCGCCAGGTCGAAAGCCCACGCCGTCGTGCTGCAGAATTGGACGGGCAAGATCTTCTTAAAGGACCAGCTCAGGAGACGTGTTCCATTGTATGTGAAGCAAATTGCCTTCAGGATCTCGGTTCTGCCCATGGAACTTTCCTGGGCGGAGTACGATTGAATCCTCATGAGCCGCGGTCCGAGTTTACAAACGGCAGCACACATGAGCCCGCCCTTTTTCGATCCAGGCCTTTCGAATGGCAAGCTGGGACGAAGGCATGGATGCCGGGCTTGTGTGGCTTGTAAGCGGATCCAGCGAGCTGGCCGCAGCAGGCTTTCTTTGCGGATGCCAGCACCGAGTTCTTCGAGCTAAGAGCAGCTTGACGGTTTATCGGGTAAAAATTGGCTCACTTGCAGGAGTATATCAGAGTTAGGGACTCCAAACAAGGTCCCTGCAGGCTGATGCATTGCTGCTTTGCCTCGCAACTAGCGAGGGGGGGGGCGGGGCGGCAACAAATTTGAGGCTGAAGCTGCACTGCTCGCGCAAGTCTGGCTCAGAAAACAGAAGCTCGCATCCACGTATCTGGCAATGCTTGTCTATGAGAGAGTTTACATTGGCGTCGGGCTTGTCAGATCTGCAAAGCGCGTTTAGCAACCAACTTTCAGAAGCTTGCACTGAGTTACATGAGATTCCGTTGGATTAAATTGCACTTCTACCTCTGCTGCTCCTGATTGCACCCGGGGCCACTCTAGTCAGCGGCAAGATTTGACGCCATGGCGTTGAGGGGTGCAGCCTGAGCCTCAAGCCTTGTTTTCATTGCAAGGTTGCAGCAGAGATCCCAAACAAGCATTTCCGAAGGTGGTGAAAATACTGCCCAGCACCATTTCGTTTCGTTCCAGGTTTGCACCTCAGATGCGCAGTCTGGGCATTAGTCAGAATGAAGGCCGTGTGACCATTGCAAGGGCGTGGCCGCTGCAGTGGCTGGGGTTCGAGGCGGGTTTCGCAGGCGGTGGCCATTCAGATGTCAGCACTTGTTGGGAGTGTCAGTGCAAGCAGGCGACAATTCCGGGCAGTCCATTGGCAGCCAAGGAAACGTCAAAAGACACAGGCCGGTTTAAACTTGGAATATTCGCAACAAAAGATACAAAAGGCCATCGGAATGGAAATGCATGCAGTCGTGTTCTGTTCGGGCTGCGTGAATCTGGAGGCTGGTTGGCCAGCGCTTTCCTGGCTTTGTTAATTTGTTTGGCCGCTTCATCCTCAGTTGTTGGGATCAACAGTGATCAACAGCGAATATTTTTTTGCAACATGGTGAGCCTCAGATCGCTGCCTTCTGCTGGATGCAGCGAAGGGAACGAATTGTTGAGCAATATGCGGAGGCTGGGAAGCTTCAAAGCCGAAACGAGTCGTTTGTGTGCTGTTGCCCGAAGCTGCATGGACTGGAGGAGGAATCCCGCATGCGCAACACCATTGCAGAGGCTCAGGCAAACGAAGGGCTGGCAGCCATTAGATCCGAGCTGTGCTACCGCGATGTCGTAACCTCCCCGTTGTCATCCATACTGCTGACCAGTTGCCTGACATGTCAGTCTCGATTGAGCCATCTGGCTGGAAAGAGCATAGTGGCAAGCAGCAAGGCTTGCTCTGAGTAGTATGAAATGCAACAGTAAGACGTCGCCACTCACGAAACGAAGACTGTGACGCGTGAGACCACGTTCAACTATTTTCCATCTCAAGTTCAAGCCGCACTGTTTCAAGCTCTAGCGGTACTGTAGGGGCGGAAAGCCGTTCGGATACTCTTGGTATTCAAAGGACATTGAACCCACAAGCACCCTGTACCCTCGGAAGTACAAATCAGTCGCCGGTTTGTAAGAAGGACAAAGAAGCACATGGCATGATGGTCCTCACACCCCTCTTGTGAATGCAGCCACCATCGAATGGGACAGCAGGCGCCGCTGTTCTGTATGCAAAGCCTTGTTGAGTTCTTTCGCGGTGTCAGCATGGGCCGAGCAGCACAAACAGTGCAAGGGTGCACATCACGAACGGGAACCTACGATGGTTTCCAGGCGGCCAAATCGCTGGCGCCGTGCGTTGTCCGCGGCAAGGCTAGTGATGCCGAGGGCGACCAGCAGCAACTGAGTATGCATCAAACTCAGCGAGAGCAGCGCGAGAGCAATCTCTCTTATCTTCGTTTGCGCCTTTCTTTGCGCTTGCGCGTCAAGTGCCCCCCAAGGTGCCTCCAGAGAGTTGAAAGGCTGTTGTCAGACACCGAGACGCTGGAGCGAGAGCAGAAGCCTCGGTATGCCTCTCGTCCTTATCCTTGGATCGCTTTTATTTAAGAGGTGTGATGCCCACTTTCGCCGAGCTGGTCTCGATGCACATGGTGCCATGAGGCGCCTGCACTCTAGCGGATGGGATCGAATAGGCCAATGCAGATGAGTCGCCATACGATAGTACTCGTTGGTGGCAGATATGCCAAAGGCTGTGATGGCACAGTTTGCACGGCTTAGCTTGAGATGTGAAGGCGCATTGAGCTTCGAAGACTGCTGTGGACTTTTGCGCACAGCCTCGGCTCCACTGAGCTGCTTGGCGAGAATCCTGAAGTGAACGCGCATGAGCATCACATTCTTACCAAGGTTAACATGGGAAGCCATAGAGGCTCGCGACTCAGAAGAGTGCCTATGCCTTCAAACGATAAAGTCTTCCGCCTCCTAATGTCCGAGGCCTTCGCGGTCACGGGAACGTTGGAAGCTAGCGTGCCTGTGGTCACGAAGGACGAGTTTTACAGGTGATGCCCTCAAACAGCCTCAAACGTTAATTTCACGTTGCTCCCAGTGTGCAAAAACAGTTTTATGTGATGTCTGCTTCCTGAAACCCCAGAGCATTTCCTGCGTAAGCGCTGCGCCCGCAGCAGCTACAGCACCCAAGTTCGAGATAATCGCGGAGCAGCTCTTCCATGTTCCAACATCCCAGAAGCAACTGCACTTGCCCTGCCTTTCACACCGGAAAGTCAGGTGTGTGACCAAAACCGTGCACTTGGTTGCAGCAGAGCTGCGCCGCAAGTTGCAAGAGGTCAGTCGCACAAAGTCGCTCAAGATGTGTCATCCAGCGGCCTCATTTCCGCTCAAGTGGATGTGGAGGTGGAAGCCAAGCTGCATCCAGCTCCGCGGCGCCCGCCGCCTCCTCCCCCTCAGCCTGAGGCGGCGAAGCTCCGGCATTGACAGGTGTTGTTGCCTGCTTATAGTTCGTGCTGGCAGGTACGAAGAGATCCCCATTCGACTCCGAAAACTCCTGGGAGGCTGGGCCTCACAGGGTAGAAGCTACTTGGAAGCCTGGCCACAAGATGCTTCTGCTGCGACACTTACGAAGTGTGGAGCTGAGAGGCATTCCAGCCCCTGGGCTGCGCTGGCTGAGCTTAGTGGCGACTTGGAAGGGACTGCCTTTTTCGCATTCGTTCTCCTTGACATGATTTTGATGTTCATGCTACTGTTAGTGAGTGCAGATCGGCGAGGCAGCGATGCAGCCTCACCTGTGTCTTCGCATCTTGACAGATGTGCTGGAAGTTCTCACATTGGTGCGCTTTGGAGTGTGTGAGCTTCGCTGTGTTCGGCACTGCATGCCGCAATTGCAACCGAGGCGCGAGTCTCAACACTCTGAGCCAACTGAAGCAGAAAACGTTGAACCGTCTCAGGCCGGTGGGTAGACTTCACCTGACGGTTGCTTTCCAGTCGGGTACGGAGAGGTCCACGGCTACGTTGCTGTCATTATGAATACGAGCGCAAACACAGTGTGGTATTGCACGTATTCCTCGTGGCAGTTGTCGTCGTTGTGGTGGCGTGGTGCGGTTTGGGATTTGGAGGCTTTTTTCGAAGCTGATAAATCGTTGATAAATCTGTCTTTGTAAGCGGATAGACTACCAAAGCTGAAGTGATAAAGAGCATGCTGTCAAGCCCCAACTGTGCATTCCTTTGTCCTGCACACAACAGGCGAATGCTGCTCTCGTCAGTAAGCATGACATGTGTCGTGTGAGCTGCGTCGACGATGCGTGTAGGCAGTCACATTGGAAAGGGCAATGATTTGATGCTCTTGACTTGACAAGTAGAGTCTGCACATCGGCGCAGACATGGTACTCGGGGCTCTTCCTCTGCAGGTCGAAACGAAACTGGCAGCACGCTCCCAGGCGCTCAAAGCTTCGTCAGTGAAGAACAGAGCAGCAGAGTCTCCGGCAAGTCAGTCTCGACAGACATGAAACACAACAAGTTCGGTCGTGCTCGAGCAGTTTTCTAGCAATGCTACAGTCGACAACTGTCAGCTCGCATGAGATGTCAATCGACAAATCTGCTCAGGAGAAGTTGGTTTCTCAAGACTCCATCGAGCAGTCTTTCTTTCGACCAGCTCCCGATGACGAGGCGGTTGGATGTGCACGAACTCATCCCGGCCAATTCAATGCCCCATGAACAGGACCCTTCGACAGCTCGTGAGCAGCGCCAGCCAACACATCAGGTGCGCTCCGAGCAGTCTTCGAGCAGTTCATACCGGAATGCCGTTGCAGAACCTCGCGTCGGGGCTGCGAGTGCTAGAGAAGGAATTCGAGGGGTCTTGCGGTCAGAATCGGAGCTCCAGCCTGCATCGGTTTCGTAGCAGTTATTCGACTATTCTTCTTGACTTCGCCTCGTTACATATTGAGGCATTGAATTGACTTTTCCCCCAAAAGCAGTGCTCCAGTCGAATCAGAAAGAGCGGTGGCAAGCTAATCCTCAGCTTATCCCTAGCTGTCATGAGCAGGAGGGGTCGGGGATCAATGGCATGATCGTCTGCCACTTAGTCATCTACTTCATGGTGCAGGGCCGCGCTGTCCTTTGATGTTGTCTTGAGAGTCCAGGTTCTGGTTCTGAGCAACGAGGGCAACTTTGATCCACACACTTTGCTAGTGAATGGCGGAGTGCTGGCTTTGTCATCGCCTGTGGCGGAGGCCAGGGGATGAACGAGATGTGCCACGGAACATTGGGATCTGAAGCTGACAGTAACATTACGGGAGTTCTCCTGCAATGACTTCCGAGGAGAAGACTTCTTTACGACATTGCCCAGGGCAGCAGCACGAAGTGTTTGAAAACTTCTCGCGCGCATAGAACTCTCATCTTGTTACTCAAGAAGGTAGTCGTGTAGGGCTCCAGTAGTGCCTAGGCACATGAACCGTTGCAACTGTCCCGGATTGCAACGGACGGAGACGTGCCGCAGGAATCGCTCCCTACCTCAGTTGAAGCACTGTAGCAACAGCGGCAGGACCCTGAATCTTCACAACGACCGTTTCAATGCTGGTTTCCCTGACTTTGCCTGCCCTGCTGATGTGGGGTTTGAGCTGTTTGCCGCACAAAGGCAGGATCCG